CCTCAGGGGCGAGAGTGTGTGGCCTCCCCTGAGCCTGTGAGCTGGATCCTGGGCGTGCTCAGGGGCTGCCTGCTGAGGCCACGTGGCGCACGGCTGCATGTGTCCTCAGGGGCCAGAGTGTGTGGCCTCCCCTGAGCCTGTGAGCTGGATCCTGGGCGTGCTCAGGGGCTGCCTGCTGAGGCCACGTGGCGCACGACGCTGCATGTGGTGCCACGTGCACAGACTGCAGCACGATGTCCAGCCCGTACGACGATCGCACCCCTCCTCCTCTGCGCCCGCCTGTCCTGCCCTGTGGGTTGGAAAACCGAGCGCACGCCCCTGAGGATCCCTCCCCGGCGTCCGGCGATGCCTGAGACACGCCCAGGCTGGCGGCTGCAGGGACAGCGTGACTTGTCACTGTGTCGTCCTCCTCCTCCTGCCCCGCTGTCCCTCGTCCTTCTCCTCCCCCGCGACCTCTGGCCAGGCGACGACCACCACGGCTGGGGAAAGGGCTTCCCCACCCCCAGGATCTGGTGCGCTCTCTGGCTCTCGCATAGCCCTGGCGGGCTCCTTCACTTTCCTCCGGACCTGTTCTCAGGTCTGGGGTGGGTGTCCCGGCTCTGCCAGGGCCTCGCGCCCATATATGTCGGCGTTGTGGGGTCTGGAGCAAAGATCCTGTAGGGTCTCTCCCCCCGCCCACAGCTAGAGGAGGGACAGGGTCTCCGCCCCACTGCCCTTGGCAGGCTCCTGGGAGCCCTAGGTATGATCCCTGGGAGGGCCAGTGGGCTCTTGGGGGGATTATGGCTGGGACATGGGCTCCTGCAACTGTGGAACTGGCAGACGCGTGGTGAGTTGACGCTCCCAGGGCCGGCTTCCCGCCACAAGGCTTGTCCAGTGTGCCTGCAGCTTTAAGAGCTGGCCGGAGACAGGAACTAGAGAGTTCTGATTACTCTGGACCGAGTGGCCACCAGGCCACCTGTGCTATTTCCTGGAGGCCTCTTCTTTCGAAAGAAAACCCTCTTCCCTGTCCGCTCATGCCTTTTCCCAAAAGAGCTCTGCAGAAAAGGCTTCTTCCTTGTAGAAAGAGGTCTACCAATGTCAGAAGAATCTCTCTGTTCTTTCGACTACCAGCGGGTAGTGGTCAACGGCTCGATGTCTGGTCGGCGATCGGTTTCTAGTGGAGTGCCCCAAGGATCTGTTCTAGGGCCGGTTCTGTTCAACATCTTTATGAATGACCTGGCTGAGGGGATGGATTGCACCCTCAGCCAGTCTGGGGCTGACACTAAGCTAAGGGGAGAGGTAGATACGCTGGAGGGCAGGGGCAGGGTCCATAGTGACCTGGACAGATTAGAGGATTGGGCCACAAGAAATCTGATGAGGTTCAAACAGGACAAGTGTAGAGTCCTGCACTTGGGACGGAAGAATCCCAAGCATTGGTACGGGCTGGGGATCAATTGGCTAAGCAGCAGTTCTGCAGAAAAGGCCCTGGGGGTTACAGTGGATGAGAAGCTGGAGATGAGTGAAGCGCGTGCCCTTGTAGCCAAGAAGGTTAGTGGCATATTAAGGGGCATTAGGAGGCGTATTTCAAGCAGATCTAGAGAAATGATTATTCCCCTTTATTCGGCTCTGGTGAGGCCACATCTGGAGTATTGAATCCAGGTCTGGGGTCCCCGTTACAGAGAGGATGTGGGCACGTTGGAGAGGGTCCAGCGGATGGTAACAAAATTGGTTAGGGGGTTGGAGCGCATGGCCTATGAAGAGAGGCTGAGGGAGCTGGGCTTGTTTAGTCAGAGGAAGAGTCTGTGGAAAATGACCAAAGGCTTGAACTACCTGGTTGAGAAGCTTGAAAGAGTGAAACAGGCACAGCTTGGGCAGGGGATGCAAGACGTGTCAGTGTTCACAAAGGGTGTTTCTGAGACGCTTGCAGGCGGGGAATAGCTGCAGCAGGAGTAAGAGCAACGGGATGAATTAACAGAGAACCACCTTGCAAAATGTAACTGGCAGCAGGCAAACCGCGGGCAACTTGCTGCTGGAGTCAGACAGGAGCTTCCAATGTGCAGATGACACCATGTCCAAAAACGTGCGTCAGACATCCTATATGCAATCGCTCTGAGCTGAGCACCTGGAACCGTGTGTGCAAACCCCTTGCTCTGAGCACCTGGATCCACGTGTGCAAACACTTTGCACTATTGTACCTGACTGCGCGTGTGCAAACCCCTTGCACTGTGCACCTGGATCCACGTGTGCAAACACTTTGCACTATTGTACCTGACTGCGCGTGTGCAAACACCTTGCACTGTGCACCTGGATCCACGTGTGCAAACACTTTGCACTATTGTACCTGACTGCGCGTGTGCAAACCCCTTGCACTGTGCACCTGGATCCACGTGTGCAAACACTTTGCACTATTGTACCTGACTGCGCGTGTGCAAACACCTTGCACTGTGCACCTGTCTCCGCGGGGCCCTTTGCTCTGTGCACAGGGCGCCGAGTGTGCAAGCCCCCGG